CTGTGAAAGGTTGATGTTTTGACATGTATGAAGCTAATCTGGGTATACTTTGTATGCTATGGGGCGTGTATGGTGATGTATGCCTGAAAGCCATGAGAAGAGATCACATATACCTTGAGGAAATATAGAAGACACATAAAATGGTCTTGAATTTATTTCTGAAATGAAACAGTAACAAAGATGAAATTATCAAATGAAGATAATGCAGTGATCGAAACTAGGTATGAAAGAATGGGCATCTAAATGTCTGACATGACTGCACGTCGTTTTTGCGTTCTTCGAGTCCGATGTAATTTTCCTGCTGCCACAAAACCATAACAAAATATCTGATATTCACAGTCATACCATGTTTGAATCATTGTGCTGTATTTGTAGCTGTCTCGATCAATTACTCCCTTCCTTGTTGCTTCAAACGCAACATACACACACCCATCTTATTGCAAAAACAAGACTGTCGTATAGTGAGCTGCAAAACCGTGAAGTTTAATTCCGAGACAGTCAAGGGTAACCTTGTGATATGTGCAACGTTGATCACTCAACTCAAACATCAAAACTGGATCTCCAAATAAATAATCAGATTTATCTAGGTATATATATACATTCCTGGACGTACCATAAAAATAGTAGGTGATCTACTGGGACATTAAAACGCGCCTGATTTATTTTCGGATCTCAGATTATTCAGTATATTTGACGTACAGAAGGCCAACTATGACAAATAGTACAAATTCAAAAGAAGCAGATTTAACATGGAGTGCTGCAACTAATTCCTCAATATGCGTAGTACTTCTGACTTCGTTCCTTAGTTCATTCAATACAAATCCATCCAAACGCATAGCATTTGCAGTATGAGCTATCAGAAAGGAGCTAAAAACTTCAGAAACTTCTTAGCGAAATTGATTGTGTTTTCTGGATTATCATTTTTATTGTTTGGCGATGGAGCAAGAGAGTCGGAAATTTGGCAGGCAGTGGTTGGGCGAAAAGATATGAGAGGATAATACATAGTATAAAATAGACTAAATGTTTTAGTGAAAATGCCAGGTGAGAAGTTAGATTCGGACAACTACTCAGTCCACGTTTACAATACATGGCTTAGCGTATATAAGCACTGTAACAACCGAACTGCTAATATTCGGTTTGAAGGCAGGACTGACGAACCCAAATTTACTCGAATAGACCAGACTACGTTCTTCTGTATAGCGTAAGAGGCATTTTTGAGGTACTCGTATTAAATTATAACAAAACACAAACTCTGTGCTCAATTTAAATGGTTTTAATTTAGGAAATAGAATAAATTATATCAAAAATACAAAATACTTCAAACGGTACAGCCTGTGCTACACAGTCAGAAGTTTCTCTGACGCAAAGTAGCGTGCTAAACAACAAAAGAACCAGTTAATACAAAAGAGTTCAATACCTGAGAATCAATAAAAATATTCCCAACAAGATGGAATCAGATATCTATCTGCAGGGATTCCAGTGATCTTCTCAAGCAGACAGCCAAAGTTAACAGTCACACACTGATCCACGCCGTGACTTTGAGCTTAGTCAAACGCGACCTTATTGTCAATAGTCCGGCAACAATGAATAGAAAATTAGGTAACAAAAGATAAGTCTTTGATCAAAATCATATTGTAAAAGCTGAGACGAGGAAGACCGAAGAACACAAAGTGTGGTCAAAAGAAGTCTGAACAAAAGTTAAAATGCACGAAAGGGAGAAGAAACAAATAAATGACGGTACTGTCTAACAAAATGCTGTCTGAGGATTTCCAGCGCCCTCTTTCCGTTAAAACTATTGTCAGGGATTGTCTACTCACTGTCTTCTCATGTCTGGAGTATTGCTTGCGAAATTCATATGACGAAATTCGAATGTCTGGCACTTTAACCGGGTTGGTGGAAACGAAGGATCCAACCACAGGAGTTGGCACACCCTAATTCCGAGCCAAGTGTGCACGTGTGCTCTAGGATTCTGGGAGAACAAATGGCGCATAAATCTATTGTTGGTTACCGACTACCATGGGACCACAGCCTCTAACGTCGCCCCACTGCCTTGTGGATTAGACCCTCTAATCGAATGATCGAGGAGTACCACCTTAAGAGAACAACCTGATTCGGTCTAAGCAACCGGGTAGTATTCCAGTCCACACACAAATCAAATGATAATTATTAATGGAACAATTGCTCTTTCTTCAACTCACATCCAGACACGTCATATTCACAATCATTTGATAACATTCGTTTTTATTTATTTTATACTATTCCGCTTATCTACCCCCTTTTATTCTCATTTGGTGTATTTTACTCTACAGTTCAACATATACAGCAACTGGTCTTTAGTGGAAACCCTGCACTACATAAACGATCTTCAGTCACTGACTAGTCGAAGGTTGAATGCTACCACCGACTGAAATTAGTGAAACAATATTTCCGAAATCACGTATATCATTCAAACTATCCTCCTCCAACATTCGCACGCTAATGCGGATCCGACAACACATAGGGTTGGCTATGTCTTTAGAAAGTCTCAACACTGGCGTCTGTTATCTATCCCACACCCATATTCATGTCTCAAGTGTAGTATAGTAGTGGCATCGGGCCCTAACCATACAATCATCAAAGCTGAACACGAGACAACTGGGAAAATAGATATTACTCATTTAACGCGGAGACAAACCCAACGATGGAGAAGGCGAAAAGAATGAATCCAATTGGTTCGAATTGATGGGATCGCATAGTTCGGCATTGCAGGCGTGAAGCACTTATGCAACAGTCTCTTAGCTATAATAAATATATTGTTCTTTCTCCAGCCTAAATGTGTTCTTCGCCATATACTGATGATTGTCACAATACGAGTGAGTCAGGATAGAAAATGATGTGACATCCACGTAAAGTCTTGTGGACTAGGCAGTTACATCATAGCAAAGCTACAATTTTAGGACCGCGTCTACTATTAGAGCAGTACGAATTTCGAAGTGGACCATAATTCTACAGTACTACAATTCACTATCAATCTTTCACTTCAGAAAGCCCGTTTTACGTGTGTTTGTCCGGCGACCCTGCTCCACTTTCATCTGGTATCGCCGCCTTCGGTATCGCATCAGAGCTTAGGCAACACTGGTCGACTGGATACTTATCAATAGTGGGTCATGTTCTGTAAGGTCAGAAGGTTCCATCAGAGTGGTAAGAAATCGATGTGAAAAACTATGTCTTCTCGTCATCTTCGCCTATCCCCCTATTGATTGATCCCAGATATGATCAAGGATGAGTTTTATCACCAGTTGACTGCTCTTCTACAGAACGTGCGTCCGATCGGTATTGTGGTACTGACCGGAGACTTGAATGGGCGTGTCTGACATCTGGGCACGGAGGACAGTCGTTTAAGTGGCCAATAGGAACCTGTTGGTCGCAAGTCGGATGACGATGACCGTCTACTGCAACTGTGCGCAGGATACAGCCTGTCAATTGCTAGCACTAACTGTGAGCACAGTCATCACCGGTGTACTTCCTGACGCCCTCCCTTGACATTTCAAACCTGGACTCAGATAGATCACATCGCGATTGTGCTGTCGTTGTGTGTTTGTGTACAAAATTGCCACTCGTTTTGGCGTAACTATCTAAACTCTGATCGCGCCCTTGTGTTACGCTGATTTTACGTTTTTAGTTCCCGTTCAGGTGAATGATGTATTGATTATTTCCTAGCCCTCCGCCAAATGTCAGAACACCGTCATAATTATTGCAAGTCAAGAGTCGAAGAGTATTTTTGGCATTAGGCCCGCCTTAGATTCGTTGATAAGGTTTAATACGAAAATTCATAACAGGTTATGCTTATTTAGTCGGTCTCAACAATGTTAGATTGGTGTCTATGAAAACTGTTTCTATTGTAAAAGTAGCTGGTTGATGCTAAGGACTACTGAAGAATATATCTGGACTAGGAGTGAGTTGAAAGAAGTAACGTAGTGATGACCATGTATAGGTATAGGTTCTAACCTCACAGTCCTCATAGCTGGACATGAGATAACTGGGAACGCGCGGACAATCAATCAACTCAATTAGATAGCATGACTCGGCCTTGCAGACATCGTCATCTTTGTGCAACTTATTTTATCCAAATTAAACACGTTGTTCTATTTCCAGTTCAAATGTGTTCTTTAAAAACGTTAAATATTATATTGCTGATTTTACTATACGACGAGTCAGCATAGACAATGGTGTGACTTCCATGTAAGATCATGTATTTTACGATTCCACATCACGACAAATCTAAGAGTTAAGGATGAGATCTATTGTCATAATAGTAATGATAACGAACTAGACCATAATTATACAACCAAACCAGAATGTTGGGGCGGTATCAAACCTATCACATATTCCCGTCTTCACCATTTCAGGTGTATTGTTTTTTAAATCCAACAACACTACAAAGTCACCCCTATCCGAGGTTCTGGTGCGTTTACCCACAGTGTAGTAAGACTACGACAAGTGAATTACCATGGGAGAAGCATAAGGCTCTTTAGTCAGCAGTCGTATCAATCACCAGAAATATATCCAAGTCACAAAATACAAGCTGCTTTCAACTCCATCCTCTTACACATCACCTATTGGATAAATCACTTATTTAGTTTTGAAGCAATCATCTCTTAGGCCTTGAATTATCACATCAAATGGTTCTGGATGGAATGGAAGAAGCTTTCGTTTGACGAGCATCGTATCTAGTAGCAGTGGTCCACCGATTGAACACTACTAAATACCTGGATTCGTGCCCGAAACAACAATATGTGAGCGTAGAGAAACCAATCGGTGTATATAAGATCGTGACGAATACACTGGATATTGGAAATTAGACTGCGCGGTAACAGATCCAACCTTGACACAATAACGCTAAGCCTTACAAACAATTTCACTATTTGGATCAGCCAATGGAGACAAGACTGGCCCCATCCACCCACAACATCACTGGCTATAAATATCGAGCTGTAATTGTCTCGTTAATTATCTTGCTCAGCCGAGTTCAGTCGGAATGTCTAAAGTTAAGGTAAGTTATATCTTTTGGATACTACGTTATTTGATACATAGTATTTTTGCACTTGGTCCAGTATAATATACGGTGCTTATAGGTTAAGCCAAAAGTAATGTTGTTAGTTTTGGCGAATATCTGTCGTTTATATGAATGTCATTCAGAAAGTGACCCTTGGTCGGTTATTTTTTTGTTAACACTAAATTTAACCACGTAAATGCATTATTCTTGTCAACAATGTCAAATCCATCTTTTGACACGAATCAGGGGTCACTATGCGCTTTCTCAAGCTACGTATTTATCACATTCTAACTATCTTATGACATAAGTAGACTTTTATTAAGATCCGAGTGTATATATTCCCACTAGACACGTATTCAGCCTAAAACGTTTTCTCAAAATTAAGTGAAAATTAGACTAATTTCGAAGAGAAGGACGCACTAAAAGTTATATAATGAAGTCGGTCCTACAGCTTGCGCAATTGACGTAGACTAACTCTGTCTGACTCTGTATATTTCTAAAATAACTGCCCACCCATATTTCGCTTATGACGATTTAGTTTTGTTTAAAATTGTCTACGCTCCCATCAATAGTCACCAACAGCAAGTATTTTGATATATGTTCAAGTGTACGGTTTTCGATCATATCCCGTTTGAATTCATTGATTCGGAAATGCTTCTTTTAAAGACCCGAAAGTCAGAAATCAAACTATCTAAGCTTATGTACTTGCTCCTTGTACCGAGTCCTTAACCATTGATACTCAACACTTGATACTATCAGAAGGAAATTGGACTTTTACGACACTGCAAATCGCACAGCTTAATCTCTACCTCCTAAAGCCTCCTACCAGTAAAAAATAAGAATTACACTCTGAGATTCTTGTATATATAAGGGTGTATGCACTTGACAATTGGTCAGTTCAAAACCGATTGTTTCTACCCTGTTCATCTATACAGAAACATGACTTTATTAATTGTCCGCTTTACTTATCCCATTGTATTGGCTTACTAAGTGAAAGCAAACACAAAACTAGCAATTAAGACCTAACGTCATTGTGGTTCAGGACAAACTCGAAAAGTGAAATTAGTATCGCTTTTACGGAGTGTAAAGTTTTGGGAATCTCTAATCTCACTATGTAATGTATAGTATATTAGAAAAAGTTATGGATTTTAAGCGGTGACATATGAACTAGACAATCCAAGTTTCATCCATTAAGTTGTAGATGTAAGGTTTACAGTTGTTCAGTCTAAATTAAACGTATTGATTCGAGTTTTAAGCACTTTTAGTCTATATAAAATGTAATTATTCGTACTTCTTTGCATATTAGGTTGGAATTATTGGGGGTTCTGGATTCGATGACCCAAATTTATTCAAAAAAGTAGGAGTGCGACAAGTGACTACTCCGTTTGGAAAGCCGTCAGATGCTCTTATCGAAGGTTTTGTTGGAGATGTTGCATGTGTTGTGCTTCCCAGGTAACCATTGTTAGTAAAAATGGCCTATTCGTTACAAAATTATTGACTTGGCTGGAATAAGTAATTGTATTGAACTTATTGTATGATAGTAATTTTCCAGATCTGTCCAAAACTTACTCTAGGAGCTATGAATGAACTATAGAATAAAAACGAGAAGACAATGTACGTTATCTACCACACTGAAGATTGAATGGGTAGTCAATAAAGACTCTTAGAAAATGAAATATTAATATTCCGAGAAAGGGAAGGTTGTAGGAATAATGTAATAACAAATCTAAAAATATTATGGTTTGAAAATTAAAACTGCTATCAAAATCGTACAATTTTTGGAGGGCATAGAAGAAATTTTTGATTACCTGTTTTTTCCGGTTAGTTCTAGTGGCAGCTGAACAGCACTTAATTTGAAAGCTGTTTAGCTATCATGTCCAAAGACGTATTAAAGTCATGGGAGGTAGTATTTAAAAAGCCCATCGCATATTGACTGAAGGTTTTAATGCTATTCACAAACAATTTACTGAACTTCTGAATGACATAAACGATACTTCTGTCGAGCGCAAACAATCGTTTACGAATAACAATGGTCATTACAAAACTTATTCAGACATCTTTAGCTCGAAACTGCCAGGTTTAACAGAAATAGGGCGAAACTAACCACATTACAACGTTTAGTATCCACTACTCGACAACGTGGTTAGTTTCTTGTTGGCATCAAAGGGAACTCGAATGGCTTTAAACCAATTCGGTTGACGCTACATAAAAGTGATTTTATCTCTGCGATCATATGGGGCATCATATATGTACCCACATGCTTGAGCGTCTTGATTATTTACAACAATTCACACATATGATCTCGCTAATCTTGTATTGTTTTGCATATTGATAGTGTTAAGTGAAAGATCACATATAACCATGTATTATGGCTTAATTTAGTGCGAATTAAGCGGTTTATGTTTTCACCATAGCAAAATGATAGCATCATGAATCAGCATATATCTGTAAAACCTTTAGGACACAGCGCATTTACTATCTTATTTTTCTAATGACTGAAATTCATGCATATTTTATTGCAAAAGTCTTAACTGCACAGACTACAAAGGTCTGAATTTTCTGAAAATATTGATGTTCGAAAGGCACTAAAAACGAAGATTTTCGTGATTTTAATTAACTTCCTATTAGAAAGCTGTTAACTGTTGTGCTGAATCTGGTATTTTTTACGTTTGTAGAAAATTCATCCCGATTGACTAGTTAAATGATTTCCTACTCACTTTGTCCCATCTTGAGGTTTCAAGATGGTAATATAGGAGTCTGTGTAGAAGAGATGCTTAAAATAGTTTTACCTCAAGACAGAAGCGGTCCGGTTACTTTCTTCTAGGACCTATTTTATAATTTATTGTGACCATATGTAAATAGTCATAAAGGTTTACTTTTTCGGTAAAAGCGGGCATTTCGGCTGAAATTTACTTGTCTTTCAAATGACTTGTAGTGCTTAGAATTTATTTGGGTGCTATTTTGCGTAAGGAAGATTAAGAGTTTTGCAGTTTGGAGACATTGATTCGCGTTCTGAGTGGCTTGTTCATATTTTATTTTGCAGACATGGTAAAGGACACTTAATTCCACCCAGCGAAGTCAACTATCGCGCCAACGTTTGGGCGTTGAGAGATCTCGGGTGTACTCATATATTAGCTACCAACGCTTGTGGTAGTCTACAGGAGGACTTAGTACCTGGAGATTTCGTTGTTCTCAATCAGTTTTTGGATAAAACTTGGGGTCGTGAAAATACGTTTTATGGAAGTAAACCTGATTCATTGAAAGGAGTCTTACATATGCCGATGGCAGAACCATTTTGTGAAAGAACACGTCAGGTTAGATATTAAGCTAGTTTTCTATCGCTTGACTTAATAATTAGGGAAGTATGTAAAGCTTTTTTACTTAACTCTATTTACTTAAAGGTGTTTGTATAATTGTTATGACATGTATACTTTGATACTAGATTTTACAACTGTTCAACCTAGTTTGGTTTGTTTCTATAAGTACTTTCGAGTATTTACATTTTATGTTGCTTTTTGCCCATAGTTTGTAGCTCATCCGTTCAAATTAAAAAATGTGAACTGCTTCTAAAACGTTTTTAAGAGTATTCATTCCGAATAATTAACAATCACGTTAACTACACGATATTTTGTGTTCCTAGGAAATGTTTAGATTTTTTGAATTGTGTCATATTAGTGTCTACTGATTCCATTGAGTACTATTTTATGAAGGGTAATGTCTGTCACTTTGTTTTATTGATGGTTTGTGGATGTTGTTTAGTATTACTTGTTAGGTAGTTCTAAAATTGTAGTCCTTCAAAAACACAAAAGAATATCTGAGAAGCATCTTCTGGCCAATTGACTTTCACATATTATGACCATATCAAGAATAGCTCGAATACACACCACAATGTCCTTTAGATGGCCAGCGAATTCAAATGATCATTCTGTAGTTTGGAAGTTAGTTAATAAATTGTACATATATACGTATGAAAATATCAGTCTTGTTTATACTGTCAAAAATGTCATCAATTTTCATGTGTTGGCAGGTGAATTGGAAATGTTTAAAATGGAATATAAACAAACCATTAGTCCACTGTGTACTGAAGTGTGCATTTTCTAATGACCAGGACTTCTATAAACCTAAGAATGAGCCACTTACAATTGTTTGAAGGCCTACTCCATGGTCTTTTTTCAATCATATACCTTGCTATCAAGTGGGACACAGTTGTCTGCCGCTGCGCCTAACTATTCTTGTTATATTGTCTAACTTCGAAGATGTTTCTGAGCATCCTGCTTTGTTTCTAATTTGAGAGCTGAATTACTTCTCCATCTCACTACATTTTCAAGATTTACAAAGTGAATAATTATTTCAGTTGTTAGTTAACCTTATTATTTATTTAGCAGTGATTTTACTTTCATCTCTTGATCTTAGTAAGCTCAAACTGGTTGACTGTAGTATTACTGAGTGAAATTTCGGAATGTTACACCACGGTCGAATGAAATATGTTTGTTCGAGTACGAGAATAAAATTTCGTAGACAGTTTGCCTTTCAAACTGTATTAATATAGTGATTTTGCATGCTCTTGTCAGTCAATCAGTCAGTAACAACTTAGAACTTCGAACGTACGTACATCAGTTCGAGTTGCCATACCACATTAGTACAGAGATGCAGTAGTCGATTCAAATCCCGTAGTGGTAGTGGCGGTAAGAGTATAAGCAGTAATCAGAAAGATTAGGGTTTGAAGATGTTATTCAAGGAGTATAATCCAGTGAAATAAATTTGGAAAGAGGAAAAAAGGGACATGAAGAATTCAGAAGATCAGAATTTGGGAGAACACAAATAGTCCTGACCGTTTTTGCTACCTTGACGTGGTGGTCGGGCTTGCCTATCGTGATGAAGCAACCGAGCTATACTGGATGGAACAACCGTTCCTCAAGGTCCTACCATGTCAGACAGGTCGGTTGAAGAGCGGTAAGACTAAAAGCAGCAAGTCCAAGGTCCGAAGGCGAAGTCGTACTGCTGACTGTACAGAGGTGTGACAGCAGTAAGGTGTTTCCTTCAGACAACCAGCATGACAGCGATGCTGCCTTCCCACAAGGAGGGGTGGGGTTAGAAGCGGTCGACCCTAAAAATGCACACCTCGCCTTATCCCACGGATATCCGTCTCCGGCGGTAAGGTCCCAAAAAGTACGGAGCTAACACAACAATTAACCATAAAAAGGTCGTGTGTGACCGACCTCAAGCAGTTGTCCCTTGGGCACTGCTGTCACGCTCCCAGGTCACTAAGATCACCTCTAATCCAGTTTCCTTTTCAGGTACCTCCAGAAGAACCCTTCCACGGTGTGAGCAACCGGGGAGTGATAACCGCCCTCATACCTCTAACAGCACTCAAGACCACTGTATTCCTAATCAACCTCCGTCTTCACTTCCTATTACTCCTCCTACATCGACTCTCACCTCTAAACTTCCTTTTTCGGCTTCGTCCTCAAATGTCACGATAGCCAACGATTCTAGTGCTCAAAACACTGTCCCAGGTCTACTGAAACCTCGCTCCAAACTACACATTGGAACCTTCAACGTACGCACCCTATGTCAAATCGGTCAACAGGCTTCCCTGGCTAGAACCCTAGAATCTCGTACCATTGATGTATGCTGTGTCTCTGAAACACGCATACAGGATCCCAGTGTGGTTATTCACTTGACCTCACCTCACGGAGAGCCAACGAGATACTCCCTCCGTGTATCTGGTGATGCGATGGCCAGCTCTCGTGGACTGGCAGGAGTAGGGATAGCACTAAGCATGAGGCGGAACAAGCATTGCTAGAGTGGATCCCCGTTAACAGTCGTTTATGTACTGTTCGGCTAAATGGCTACGTAAGAACTTGGAAGGATAGGGACACACGTCGTTGCCTTTTTGTCGTTTCTGCCCATGCTCCCACCGACTGCAGCTCATATAATGTGAAAGATGAATTTTACAGAAAGTTTTCTGAACTTCTTCAGAAAGCTAAACGCTCAGACATAGTACTCGTAGCAGGTGACTTTAATGCTCAGATAGGTAGCTTAAACCAAACAGAAAGGCATTTAGGTGGGTATTTTAGTACTCCGGCACAACGAACAGATAATGGTGATCGTCTGCTGCAACTGTGCTCAGACAATCGTTTATTTTTAGCAAACACAAATTTTAAGCATAAGGAGAGACATCGTCTAACATGGCGACCCCCTACACCAAACCAACGATGGACTCAAATAGATTTACAACCTCATCGACTGAGATGGTTAGGCCACGTGTTACGTATGTCCGTACACCGATTACCACGACGTGCAATGCTAACCGACGTTCGGGATGGTTGGAAGAAAGTTAGGGGCGGCCAAACCAAAACGTGGCATCAGTGCTTGAAGTCGCAAACTTCTGGTCTGAGCCATGTTGGTAGATGCAGACTACTTGGTTGGGGTCCGCGTGACTATCGTAACCAATGGTTAGAGACTCTTGGTGACATGGATCAGAATCGATCACAATAACGTCGGTGTATACACTCTCTATCTTCCCTTAAACTAAGATTAAAATCGCTTCATATCTTTCTTTCTACGAACTAATTCTTTCTTCTTGTACTATATCTCTATATGCAATCTTTCTCTTATATATTACCACCTCTGAATTAACCACTTTTATAAATCCGGTGTTCATCTTGTGTTAATGTGGTATGGCAACTTGGACCGATGCATAAATGTGTCTGGTCCTACGTTGTAGCTGACTGACTGAGAACACAAAGAGTGGATGTACAAGCGCCATTGCAAACGATTTTGAGCCATGTCATTCAAGCTCTCTAGCCATCGGTTGCTATCATCTCGCCGTCTTCAACCAGAAAGTCTACACCTACCAACATGACTCAGTCCACTTGTCAGTGACTTCATGGATTTATGCCATGTTTTGGTCTGGCCACCCCTAGCTTTCTCCAAACCTACTCCTATACCATTGAACATCGCACGTCGAGGCAGTCGATGGTTGGGCATACGTAACGCGTGTCCCAACCATCTCAACTGATGAATTTTCACTACTTCATCAATCGATTTGCCATCCTTATCTAGTACCCGTTTTCTAACAACTGCGTTACTTATTCGATGGTCCCAGGATATACGAGCAATGTTTCGAAGACACATATGATCAAATAATAGTAACCTACGAATGTCTTCTACTCTTACTGGTCATGTTTCACTGTCATAAAGTAGGACGGAACGAACTGCTGTGCAGTAAACCCGTCCTACACCATAAATAACGCAACTTGGCAAGAGCTAGTCGAGCCTTCTGTATCCGTGCTGAAATTTTGTCACACACCAGACCACAAGGGCTGATGAGACTTCTGAGATAAGTGAAGCGGTCGACACGCTCAACTACTTCACTCCCTATCATTAGTTCGGGTGTCGATGCAACCCAATCCTGAAGAAACATTTCGCATTTCGAGGGAGAGAATCGCATGCCGAACATGGTTGGATTGTTGCTTATAGTGGTCAGAAGACTGCATTTTGTCAGTGTCTTCACCAAGTAGAACTGTGTCATCGACATATTCTAAGTCAACAAGTGAATCTCCCGGTAAAAGTTCAACTCCTGGAAATTTAGATGGAGAAAATGTTGTCTCTGAAAGCACGTCAACGACAAAGTCATACAAGAATAGAGAGAGTGGACAGTCCTGACGAACACTACTGGAGGTAATCAATTCTGATGACAGTTCGTCATAAGCTCTCACTCGGCCAGTTGTGTTTGAGTAGAGAGCCTTTAAAATGTTAATGTACTTCTTTGGTACTCCTTACAGTGACAAACACTGTCACAGAACCTCACGATCAACAGAGTCATATGCCGCCTTGAGGTTGAGAAATATTACTATTGTGGGGCGTCTGAATGTGTGTCTATGTTCTAGGACCTGACGTGGTGTGAATATCTTGTCTATACAACCACATCCAGGTCGAAAATCAGCCTGGTTTTCTCTAGTCTGCTCTTCGCGAGGTTTAGTTAGGTGTCAAAGTATTATTGAAGCTAATATTTTAGACACTGTGTTAGTCAAACTGATTCCTCTGTGATTGTCACAAGAGGACTTTTGTCCTTTCTTATAGACTGGCACAATCAGTGATTGAGACCAGTCAGACGGAATTACGTTCAGTTCCCAAATTCTACCTAAGACCTCAGTCAATCTCACTGCTAATACTGAACCACTATCCTTAAAAACCTCAGGAGTAAACCTGTCAGGGCCTTCTGCTCTCCCTCGTTTCAGACTTCCTATGGCTTTTTCAAGTTCGTAAAGAGTTGGAGGACTTATATTAACTTGCCATTGAGGTAGACTGGTGATCGTGGGAAACCGAAGTGTGGCTGAAGGCCAGTTGAACTGATCCCCAAAGTGTTCTGCCCATCAATCCAATCTCCTGGATTGAGAATGAATAATATGTCCATCATTCTCTGAGATTGTTTCGCTAACGGTCGGGTTCCTAATGCCGGTTTCCTTAACAAGTTTGAACAGTTGTCTGCTGTTACCTATTACCGCTGCCTTTCCCATCTCTTGCTTTCGCTACCCACCACTGTTCACGATCATTGCGTAGGCTTCTTGTCAGCTTGCGCTTAAGCTGACTCTGCTCTTCGTTATGTTCAGAGCCAGATGGGATGAGTTTTCGAGCATCTATCAGTGCGGTAGATGCTGCTGAGATTCAGTGTTTCTCCCTAACTTGTGGTTAACCGTACTAGCAGATATCACTGCTGTTTCCACAGCTTTTCGAATATCATTCCACGCTGTTTCGGGGTATGCATCACATAAATGGCTGCCTAACTGTTTTTTTCTAGTTGTTGCTGAAATATATTCTTAGCTTGGCTATCAATAAGTAGGACCCTACGAGGCTTCCTTGCAGCGCCTTTCCTACGTCCAGTAAGAAGCAGACAAATACGCCCTTGCATTAGAGCATGATCTGAATCTAAGCATGTGCTCCAGAACGAGCGACAGTCTTCTATCGAGCCCCTCCATCGATAGCTGATAGCGATGTGATCTATTTGGGTCCAATGTTGGGACGAATTCGATGTTCGCTATGTCGAAAGATGTTTTTCCTTATGCTTAAATATAGTATTTGCAAGAAGCAGGCGGTTATCTGAGCATAGCTGCAATAGACGGTCGCCATTATCTGTTCTTTGAGCCACGACACTATAAGATCCACTCAGGTGTCCTTCCTCTTCTCCTAGTTTACCTTCTTGAGCATTAAAGTCACCAGCCGCTATCACTACATCAGAACGCCTAGTTTTTCGGAGGAGGTCGAAAAGCTTTCCGTAAAATACATCTTTTACATCATCTGAGCTGCAGTCAGTGGAAGAATAGGCAGAGACGACGAAGAGGCAACGACGAGTGTCACTATCTTTCCGAGTCCTCACTGTTCCGTTTAGTCGGACAGCGCACAAACGACTGTCTACTGGGATGCAGTCTAAGAGAGCTAGTTCTGTTCTGGGACTCAACGCTATACTTACGCCGGCGAGGCCACAGGAAGCAGCATCAGGGCTTCCAGATACACGAAGCATGAATCGAGATGGTTCTTTGTTTTGATATGGTGATGTCAAATGAATGACACTACTCGGATCCTGTATGCGCGTTTCGGAGACGCAGCACACATGGATAGCGCGAGATTCTAAAGTCGTAACTAAGGAAGCCTGTTGTTCTATTTGTCACAGTGTTTGAACGTTGAAAGCTCTTACATGTAGTTTGGAGTGTGGTTTCAGGAGATCAGGAATAACGTTCTGCGTTGTCGAATCATTTGTACCAGCGGTGCGAGGTGACGTGAGAAGGGTTATTAGGATGTGTGGGGAGGATTCGAATGTGATCAACTTGGCCTCTTGTGCTGTTACGGGTATGAGGGCTGATATCACTTCCCGGCTGCCTACACCGTGGAAAGGTATTTCTTAAGGAACCTGAAAAGGAAATCGGATTAGTGATGGCCTTGACGAGCTGGGAGCTTGACTGCAGAGCCCAAAGGACAACTTGAGGGCGGTCGCGCACGGCCATATCGTGGGTGTTTTTTTATTGTATTAGCTCCGTTCTTTAAAGGGTCTTATTGCCGGAGACGGAAATCCGTTTCGTCTTAATATGTTATAAGTCAGCAGTTCTTATCCACGACCCCATCATGGGTCGAACCCAGGACTTCCAGTTGTTGTAGTGAGCACTTGGCATTTAGACCACTGACCCGACATCCAATAGTTTACATGTTTAAATTCGATCTTAAAACGATATTGGCCAACCACCTAGTTTTATTAGTAGGTAACTGTTGTACACTTGAAGTAGTTGATCTTCACTAGTCACAACTTCTCACTTCTCACTTAGTCAGTGGTGGGCACATTATTATTATTGTTATATAGTGAGGTTTTGAAGTTTGTTAAATTCCATAGTTGACATTGTTTATTGAATGTTGACGCTTAAAATAAATTAATGTACAAAATGTTTTGTTAACAAGGCGCATTAACTATGCCAGATACATTCTAGTTTCTTGCAGTTGTTAATTATCAAATGAGTTGGAAGTTTGTGTATTGTTTTGCTTAATAAATGTTTTAAAGCTCCTACAATATAATGATGCATCGGTAAACAGTTGGTCTCCATTATCTACTTAATCACTGATGAATGATCATGAAAATGTAAAGGAAAAGTTAAACACTGAAGACTTTTTTGCTTGAATTCTCTTTTTTATAGTTTAATAGTAACTTGTTCATATGTCTCGTACATTTTCAGATGTTAATCCAGGCGGCCAAAAATAAATCAATAAATGTTTATGACAAAAAAACTATGGATAAATCCGCCTGTATTCATCCATGTGTACATACTGAAGGTTCTGCAGTAACTATCAATGGTCCACGTTTTTCAACTCGTTGCGAATCATTCGTTCATAAGGCAATGGGATTGGATATAGTTAACATGACATTAGTTCCTGAAGTTTCATTGGCTCGTGAAGCTGGTTTAAGTTATGCTTCTATAGCAATTGTTACAGATTTTGATTGTTGGAAAGCAGATGAGGAACATGTGAGAAAGTTATACTTACTGGCTACTTTTTTATAGTAATTTATAGATACACACATAAGGATGTCCAATTATTTTGTTATGCTTCCAGTATGAGGTTGTGAATATCAATGAAGTTGTGATTGTATTCGTCTTTAAATTTGAGGATTTTCATGCATTGTTAGACTTTTTATTTCTAGGAATTCCTAAAGTAAAGTATAATGGTTATTAATTGTTGGTTAATATGCCGGGCTACTTTCATTTATAGTTGTTCATAATCGATAGTAAAAAATCTAGGAAGTTTTGTGACTTAGTAATTAAAGCACTCAGTTTTTTCAACCAGTAGATTTCAGATTCGAATCCAACTCGACTTATTTCTGTCTGGTCAGTTAGGTAGTATTATTATTCCTTCCACAGAATAGTGTGACTCAAATTCGAGTATGTAACCCTTTACTTAATATACGAGGCACATTATAGTTCTTATTGTTGCTTAACCAACCAAACACCAATCTTTTCACTAAATAGATGGATAATTAGTTGGTAGTAGAGTTTAATTTCTGATAGAAATTGCATCACATGAATAGCTGGTTTCTTTTTGACTGGAATCATTGTCATTCATGTTTTCTGTTTGATTGATGGATAATAATTTAAGCATAGAATTAGACTACAACGGTGGGAATATTAACTGAATCTGTTATAACAACGCCTTTTATTCATTCTATGTTACTGATCGTCTGAATAATCAAATGATGTTTTATGACAGATATATTGTCATATTGCATTGTACTAATGAAACTTTAAACAGCTAAAAGCTGAATAATTATTACAGGTATTTGAATACCTAGGATCTGATTTCTAGTTCATTTCACTGAATAGAATAAAGTTATTACTTTTAGTAAATAATGTTCTCCCAAGGGTAACATTGGATACAGTCTTTAATGCAATCGATAATTAAACAAAACTAGTAGAGAAAATTAACCGGCACTCAAATAACTCATATTCACTGATGGGTGATCTTAATTTCCGACCAGCATAAAACCTCTATAACCATCTAAAGGCTGGTTTTACTGAATATGAGACATAAATCATTTCTCGGTCTACATGTATATTATTAATTTTCCACAGAATGCTCAATTTATTTGAAACTATCAAGTTCAAACTTGGCATTGATACCAACAAACTCATTTTTGATGTATTATTTCATTTTTACCAGGTCTGTGTTGATATGGTTTTGGAACAGTTTCGTAAAAGTATTGTTCACGTTAGAGAAATTCTATTAGAGGCTGTGGCATTGATTGGTGCTGAAGACTGGACAAAAACCATTGAAGCAAATAAGGTATTTTGATTCTCTCTCACAGACTTGTCTTTTTTATGACACTTGACTAGATATTAGCGACACTTCATTTGCTATCACAATGTTAAACAATTTACCTAATTTTGTTTGTCTGAAAATTCTGAAAAGTATGTTTTGAACTATTCAATATTACCATATAAGATTCAGTCAGTATCATCCTCCAGACACGAACTCAATACACACTGACAGAATTTGAACACTTTATATCTGTTAAATTAAGCTGTCTATACAAAGGCGATAAATAACCGTAAAATGTATTTGCATCAATAAAAAACTGTCATGTAATTAAAATGCCTTGAGTGTGAATATACTATTAACTAAAACCATTGTTAATATTTGATAGTCAACCTTTGTCAACACACAGTTATATAAATTCGAAAGTGTAAGATACAGTTTGAGCACATGTCGGATAAGGTGTTATCTATTTTAGTTGTTGTTATTTTCTCATTTAAACTTGTATTAATTATCTGTTATTGGGCGTCGATAAACAGATATTATGTTTTACGTATGTGATACTGTCATGAAACTACGCTTATTTGAAGTAGAAGTTATTTGTGGTCATTCCACCATGGAATCGTTTAAGAACTAACAATTTGTTGCAGCAGTCTTGTTATCAAGGTTCAGAGAGTAGTCTCCTTAAAACAATGTCTACCAATTCTACAAACAAAACACTCCGTTATTATCTCAAGATTGGCTTATCTAATTCATTGACCAAGTACATGTTCATGTACCTGGTTTTGGACCACACTGTTTATAAGGTCTAGTAACACCAATTATTCGAAAGTTTGAGTGTGCTGCATTGGCTTATTAAAGGAAGCGATCATCTTTCAACCAGTGGATCTCAAATCTCGACGTCACTGCATCTAGTTTAGTTTGACCAACTGGATCGTATCACTAGGTCTGATGTAAATGATGCGGCTCATAGTAGTAATATTACTAATTGCATCAATAAAGTTTCTAAACATAATTAAAGATTGAGTTGGCTTAGTATGATTTAAAGAATGAGTTTCAACTTACCAAGTTAAATTTAATGTACTGATTCTAGTTATTGTTTGGTAAGTCGGAGAGGGGTTCAATCACTAATGAACCATTAGTGTTGGTTCAATGGACTGTTATTCTCAGTCAACACAAAAATAGGTATATTTTACATTCATTTAGGTTATAAACAATTTGAAAGAGAATTTTGTTTCTTCTTTATTAATAAACAATAACAAAACCTGGTGCCTGACAAATAAAAGGAATCTGTAGTAATTCAATAACTACCAGGGATTATTATGCAATCCAATTTTCAGTTAAAATATGTTACGTTCCGTACTTCATTATTTTAAGCAACTTAACCACACATATGTATTGAATGCTCTAAAGAACTATGTCACACTGAAGTAATTTCCAGCATTCATTAGCACGTTTCACTTCATGAATCGTATAATAATTTGTTTTCTAATTGAATCTTTTTATTTACAAGCTTTGCTTTTTAATTCTCGTTTTACAGGCGCTAGTGTCCAGCTCGCGTCAAGACTTGCTTCATCAAGAAAGTAAAGGCAAATAAATATGAGGATAATCGGAATTTATTGTCTGTGAACATGAACAAATGAAGTTTAATTGACTATTTTACAAATAAAGATTTTAAAGAATGTTCTTATTTAATTGACAGTAATTATGAAATTGAATATTTTTCATGACAAGTGTTTTCTACTTTTAATTGGTTGTTTTGTTAGAATCCTATGAAATTTGTATTTGAAAATAAAACTTAAAACAATAAAATGAGCAAGCATTTTCTTTTTTTTTTAATTCGGTTCAGTGTAAACAGTTAGAAGTGAATTCAATCAGGCACACAGCCATGAGTAATGTAGAATCTGGCACATTCGTTTTTAATCAGTTCAATATGTTTATCAAAACTGTGATATATACGTGATGTATTACATGAAATCGAGTTTGCAATGGATTCTGGAGATCGTTCATAACTGATACCATCTGATGTCGAGGACTAAAATCTGAAGATGAACACAAGTGACAGCTCAAAATAACTTAAATCAAGTTATTCCCCTGTTTCTCCAGGTAAATCTCACTAAGATAGTCTAGGAACAACTTTCTAGACTTATTATACGGAAGAAGTATTTAATTTCCGGGGCATTCAAGATCATATTTTAGTAGTAATAATAAAATGACCAACTAACCTAATATTTTGAAATCAAATTCTAGTTAGAGTTTTCAATTGAGGAGGTCCGTGGTTTGGACTCAGGTTCAGTTATGTATTTCCTCATAAAGTTATTATGGCATCCATTTTGTTGTGGCGTCACCCTTAGCATGTCTAATTCTTCTATATTATCCTAATAGTATAGTCACTGGATTTCATCACTCAGATATTTAAATAGATTAATTTTATGTTGCGGGGTGTGAAGCACGTCCATCGATTTTTTTGACATGTGAAGAATAAGATACCGTTCAATGAAATCCGTCTCTCTAATAGGTCGTATGATCTATGCAGTAGGACTGTGCTGAGTAAAGAAGCTTGGACGGAACTGTATATTCACTGACTTACGCTTGTTACTCCCAATGTAGCTATAGGTCGCCGAACCACTCTGCCCTGGGCATTCCTTTTTAGTTCTATCCAATTGTTGTTCATTCTTCTTATGTCTGTCTCCATTTCTCGGTGTAATGTGTTCTTTGGTCTTCTCTACTCCTTTGGCCTTGAGGATTCTAATTGAGGGCTTGTCTCGTGACGCAGTTGGGTGCTTTCCTCAATGTGTGTCCTATCCACTTGCAGTGCTTCTTCCTGATTTCTCCTCGTCTGGGATCTGGTTTGTTCTCTCCCGCAGTAGTTTGTTACTGATAGTGTCTGGCCAACGGATCTGAAGTGTTTTGGTGTAGACAACTGTTAATAAGCACTTGTATCTTCTGGTTGATGACCTTCGTAGTTCTCCATCTTTCCGCCTCATACAGTAGAACTGTCTTGACATTTGTATTTAAAATTCTGACTTTTGTGTTGGTTGACAGACAGTTGTTTAGAATTCCAGATGTTCTTCAGTTGTAAATATGCTGCTATTGCTTTTCCGATCCCCGCGCCTTCACATGTGCATCAGATCCACCGTGCTCATCAATGATGCTGCCCAAATATGTAAAGGTTTTTACATCTTCCAAATCTTCTCCGTCAGTTGTGATTGGATTGGTGCATGCTGTGTTGTATCGGAGAATCTTGCTTTTCCCTTTGTGTATGTTGAGACCTAGTGCTGCTGAGGCTGCTGCTACATTGGTCGTCTTCAGCATTTGTTGTTGCGTGTGCGATAGAAGAGCTAGATCATCTGAGATGTCTAGATCGTACAACTGCACCTAGCTGTCCACTGTATTTCATACTTCCTTTCAGATCTTGACGTCTTCATGATACAGTCGATCACCAGGAGAAAGAAAGAGTGAGAGTAAGTTACTTTGCCTGACACCGGTTTTTACTTCGAACGAGTCTGTGAGCTGTCCTCCATGCACAATTTCGCAGTTTAATCCATCATAGGAATTCCGTATTATATTGGCCATCTTCTCAGGCATGCTCCTCTCCTATTGCTTGTTTACTTCTGTGTATTCAGCTTGTGCCTTGGTTTTCTCTGCTCTTGTTCGGCTGGTGTTGATTGCTGCCTTCTTGTTCCTCCTTTCTTGAATCATATCCAGTGTATCAACAGTGATCCATTCCCTGTGATAGTGCTTCTAGTGGCCCAGAACCTCATGACATGTTGAAGTGATTGCCTCATTTATCCCTTCCCAGTTGCTCTCCATAGTAGTTCCCTCTTCATTAAATAGATCGTTAAAGGCCTGGAACCTACTACCGAGGGCTATCATGAATTTGTTAAGTTGGCCAGTATCCCGAAGAAAGGCGTACTGAATTTTTGTGATGTTGTCCGCCCCGTCGTCAAGTGCTTCTCGAGTTTCAATTTCATCTTGGCGACCAGCAAGTGATCTGAGGCTATATCAGCCCCTCTTTTGGTTCTCACATCCTCTATCGTCCTCCTGAAATTTTTGTTGATGCAGATATGGTCGATTTTGTTCCATGTAGTGTGATCCGGTGAAATCCATGTGGTTTTGTGTATGTGTTTATGTGGCAATATAGTGGCGCCTATGACGAGTTTATTGAAAGCATATAGGTTTGCAAATCCCTCACCATTTTTGTTTCTCCCAGTCCATGTCG